TCGTGTTTGTGGATTAAAAATGAAGATGACTTGTAAGGAGTGGATCATAGGGTAAACAGAATGTATACAATTCGATCGATCCATGTCAAAGATTTTCATAAAAAGAAAACCTTGTTTCTTTTTAGTTTCATTAACAAAGTTATATCATGTTGAAAACAGAAAAATTACTGATAGCATGATTAACAAGATAAATCGGATGTTATATCAATTGATTTAAATGAAATAAATTAGAAAAAAAAGATGCATAAAAAATCGCATATACAAGGACAGTTTTTACAATAAAATTTATCTTATCAATTTATTACTTCAATGTATTTATTGAACCACTAGATACGCTAGAAAAATTAACAAAAACATAGAATATTTCAATAATTAATTGACATGAAGATTCATCACATGAAAAAAATTTAGATGTCAGTTAATAAGTACCTCCTTGTTTATGTGAACAAAAACAAGATAGATTTTTTTTAAAGATGACAAAATATTAAAAATTCATTGCGAACATGTACATGCCACGTCAGCAAGTTAATATCAGATATACAATGTATAGACTGTTGATGTAATCTCTACGATATTATAAAATAAAATATGATGTATCAAAAATCAATGATTTAGAATATGTTTATGTTTAAAATGTGAATTTCATTTGATATTTTTAAGTACAATCGATAAAGGATGTTGTTCAGCTTGACATGGCATATAGATTATTTTGTTTTGGTAATAGAAGTCGATCTAATATATGTATTACACTGTGGGCGCGGGTGTGAGTCACGCCGATGTGAGGGAAGCCAAGATCAACACCTACAACCACATCCTGCCTATAATACGTACATAAAATTTGTTAAGGCTACATAGAACGATATAGCAAACAATTTTCTATAGCATAAGGCGTCTCATAGTTCTTACAACGTTTCTTCAGCTGAAACGCAACAATTTTACGGATGTTCCTCAAGCTGTTTTGCTAATGTTTTATATAAAAAAGTTATTTTCTTGGCTTTCAATCAAATTACTGTATTTCAAACAAAAACTGTTAGAGAGCATGATTTATTCTAGCGCTCTATGTAGTCTCAATAAAATTATATGTGCACGCTTTAGGTGTTGAAGAAGTAGGGTTTAGATTTTCTGGAATCCTTATTTTTGAGTATCTAATGATAATTTTTATTTTCTTATGTTCTAATTGAAAACAGTTTTCTGTATTCGAATTACTATTTGGAATCTCTCTA